AGGTCATAGTGGGAGATAATGTGTCCCACTTACTACCAGCAAGAGCAGGGAGTGAGAATATGAAGGATGGTAATGACCCTGATTACTGACTCCACACGTTGTTCGTTTGTCTTAGTGATCTTACCCTTTTACAGGTACAGAGGCACTGCTACAAAAACGGTTCATAGTATGTATGTTGTCGACTTAAAACACAGTTCAAAATAAGTAAAATTATGTTTGCTTCACTCTCATTGATTTGTAGGCATTCAACAAAATTGTGAAAGTATTTAACATAACAACAGTTAAAAAAATCATGACATGTTAAAGTCAGACAAACTGCATCGCTAATAGAAAAAACCATGGCGGATTTGACGGAACAATAAGGGGCTGACAAATGCTGCAACAATATAATATGTCGCCACTGCTTTATTTGTTAGTTTGCAACGGTGATTGAAAACAACCTTACAGATAGATGCTTGAAACACACATGAAGCTTATTTTCCGTTTTTTTCTTATGCAATTAAAGGATAGAAATTATATTTTTATCATCATAGTGAAAATATACTTGGCTAAATGTTGACAAGTATGAAATGCACCTGCTAACCAAACATGTTTTAGCTATGGATGTAAGTGGCTTTTCTAATAATACACAGTATGGCCTCTTAGTACAGTGGATAAGCTCTCATATTATAACAATTGTGCATTTTATGAGAAAAGCATGACATTTCTAGCATAGTTAGTGCATAGCATAAGGTTTATTTTCAGATGTGGAGGGAAGTCAGATTTGACCTGTGAGGACCGTGAGAGGTCAAATCCAAGATGGCCGCCAGTCTCTCGGGTCAAATGTTCAAACACGCTTAATTTTGGAACCAAACATTGTAGAAAAACATTTAAGGTCTCATATCCAACTAAATTATGGATGCCCAATCATTTGGTGATACTTTTGAGATCACCAGAATTCAAGAAAATGCATTTAGGTGAAGATAAAGGTAGAAATTGACCAAAAATAAGCTGTCAATCAGTTGAAATTTGCAAAATGTGTGTGTGTGTGTGTGTGTGTGTGTGTGTGTGTGTGTGTGTGTGTGTGTGTGTGTGTGTGTGTGTGTGTGTGTCTGTGTGTGTGCGTGTGTGTGTGTGTGTGTGTGTGTGTGTGTGTGTGTGTGTGTGTGATGTGGTATAGTATATTCCAGTGGATTTATGGTCACCCAGCGCTAGCATTAATACAGAGACTGGAGGAATATGGCTTTACTTGGCACAGTCTGCATGCTGAAGAAAACATTTGTTTTTGGGTTTTTTTGTCTTCAAATACATACTTACATGATTGTGACGAGCATAATATTTGTTCTCCGCCCAACTCTCTAAGTCTAAGTGCTTGAACTCCGTGACAGGAGGATGAAGTATAAATGGATGGAACTATCAACAAAACAGCGTTTTATTCCCCAATGTCATATTTAATAGAAAAATAATGATGCACCTCTTATTGGAGGAAGAAGAATGAGGAACAGAAAGGTTTAGAGAGGGACAAAATGCTGAAAGAATGTAGACCAAAGAGGGAGTTGGAAAACAGTTCCATGTAGAGCACAAACAGCTCTCTTAACCCTCGCTGTTATAACAAAGGGCTGCACTCAACTATAAGGTTCACTGCTGTCCCTTTCCACTTATAGAGGGTTGGGGTTCGATTCCCTGCCTGTCCACCTATAAAACGCCCAAGGTAGCGCAGCTTTTTTTCTGTTCTTTAGTGGCTCACATGGACACTTAGAGGTCATGCAAAGAAAGGGTTATGTATGTTGTGTGTGTGACAGAGAGTGCAGAGAGAACATTGGCAAAGGGGATTTGTTTGTCCAAGCATGGCTGTACAAATACAAAGGTTTACCCATTTAGACTCCATGGTATGGAGAAAAAAACTAATTTTAAATCTTTATCTACACTATTTTGTAAGGATTACATTTTTTACTTCAAAAGAAGCTTATGCTTCAATTATGATTAGCATAAGAAAGAGAAACACAGACTGGTTCAATACAAATAGGTTTATAGTTTAAGGCAGCTGATGCGTGATTTTCGATGAGATGCATTTTGGTCTGGCAACTAATCTGTGTGGGTCACTCCCTTCTTCCCTTAGTCCCTTTTTCCCCAAGAAAAAAGCTCTTTTAAGGAAAGCTGGAACCAAGTATTATTTGAATGCAACGCTAGTTATCGGTTGAGGTATACAGTAAGGGTGATTTTAATTCTGGACGCCTTAATTGCATTCATACTTTTATTATGAACATAATCGTTTGGGAAAACAGCTTTATGTTACTGTCACTAGTCTAAATTATATCAAAACTAACATTGTCAATACTAATTGTTGTGTTTTGACTGATGCAAATGAATAGATTATTTTCAAAATAATGACTGAATAATTAGTCATAATTAAGTATGCTAACAAGCACTGATTTATTAACTGATTTCTCCATACCGGCTTCGTCAGTGTTCACTGCATGCCAGGCTTTATTTTAATGATACTGTCTGTCCCAATCAGTGTCAAGCCTTTCCTGTAGAGAAAAAAAAGTTAATTATGAAACTTTCTCCGTGCCATGCTCTGTTGATGCTCTTTCTATCTAACACATTTCTGCATTGAGTGTCATAATAAAGCAGTAATAAGGAGGGGATACTCTGCACAGTGATTATAAGCCCTGGGGTGATGCAGCTAAAGGAATTACTAGTAGAAGTACTTTACCTAAGTGCTCTTCATTACTCTTAATAATTAATCATGGTTACAGTAAGTGTATCAAGAGCCAGTGATTACGTTTTGGGGGTACATTTATACATCCATTGTACAGAAGTATAATTTCACATGTGGAAATGACAGGTATGATGATACTAATAGACTTCACTTTTTCAGTAAAGCAAGATATAAGAAATAAGCTCATGCATTTAAAATTCATTGAATGTCAAACTTGTGTAAGGAGAATCAGCCAAAAAACCCTCAAACTATTCATCTGAATAAAACAAACTATCTAACATGAATAATATTTGGGAGTTGACACTTTCTTGATACAGGTATATCATATAAAACAAATGTGCTCCATTTGACCTATCTGTTACATATTCCTTTATGTTTTAGTTGTTTGAGACAAACAGCAAAGGTTGAGACAGGATGGCCAACTCATGGAAATGTTGTAAGACTTGGCATCCAATTCCTTTTTCTATGATGCATTCTCGATATTCATTCGGAAATTGTTTTAAGAACTGTTTAGTATTTGCTAATACATCAGAAGATTTTTTTTGGGCGTCTGCAAGCCTGAACTCAAAGAAATCCATGAAAATGCAAATGAAGACAGTTATATTAAATGGTTGTAGTGTGACTTCTTCAAAAACAATAAAACTCACAGTATTCATAGCGGTGATGGGACAGATTTCTTTTTTTGCAGTGTCTTTTGTTCTATATCCATAAATAACTGAGACCACCTTGTGTTTGAAGTCAGAGATGTGCAAAAATGTTAATAAGCAGTACCATACCGATGTACTTCCGGATGTGGTCTCCCTCAGTAGCTAATTAAAAAGACATCTTTTTGATCTCATAATAGCCTTGCTGCCAGGGTAAACAAAGCAGGCGACAATGACACAATAATGGATTTTAGCATTCTAACAGAAGATACTTAAATACAGGTTCATTATTTATCCGTTTTTTGCAACATCTTTGGGTATGATATTAATCAAAACATCCCAAGCCCTCTATGAACCTATAGTGATTGTTCGGTATGAGAAACTATTTTTCGTCCTTGAGGAGTCCAGTGATTGGAGAGTGAAGTTAAGAGAGAAAAACACATTTGCAATCAACATTTTGATAAATGAAAGTCCTTGTACACAAGAGTATATGGCCCTGTCCTCGCATTCAGCGAGTCACATATCACTTTGTCCTTTCGGTCTTGATTGACAGATAAAGTCAAGCTGAGTGTAAATCTCATGGTTTTGTCATTGTTTTTGTCAGTATTTATACAGTTGAATATTTATTTCGCAATGTCGCTTACCGTTTTATGTAACACCATCTACAAATCTTGGAAAAGTGAAGTATACGAAATTGCACATGCAAGTTACAGTAACGTCACTATGGCAACAAGTAATGTTGGTGAAATATGTACAGCATCGTTAGGCACCTCTTTTTTTTACCCAAAACTTAATTTAAAATAAGTACATTCAATCAGTACTGCACATTCAAGTACAGCACCCATAAATAGAGCTGATAACAACAAAAAAGAGAGTACATAAAACAAAAAAAATGAATGAAAATCACAAGAAACCATGCAATGAGAGACAAATTAATATTCTAAATTTGTATTAAAAAAAAAGAATGAAACGTAGCTGAAAATCTTTCAATAAAGACATACATTAGAATTGAATTAAATTTGAAAAAGAAAGTTGTGAGCTTAAAAATTAAGTTTGTCAATAAAGACTTCTACAAATAAATTAATTAATAATAAAATTTGTAGGCCAATCTTTTTTCGGGGTTGCACTTTATAGACGGTCCCTTCACACTCGTCTCACTCACCTCTGCTGCTGCAGGTGAGACCACCATAGACTGGTTGAGACCTGAGAGACTGAGACCAATCTTATTTCTACAGCTCAGATCAAAATTACGTCGTAAACCCGTTGTCTACCTGACTACGGTTGTTAAGTGACGTCGTAGCTACAGTAGCATCAGGTAACCATGGAGATATATCCTCTGTGTTTGGCTGTCCTACAAATGCGTCTTACTTTTTTCACTTGCTGCTCGTACTTAAGTATGCCAAACGTTACTTTTCCGTGAACTGGAACAGATATGTAGTAAACTATCTATACATTGATTCTAAACGTTCAACCATTGGTGTGTCGTCACGTAAAATGTTCAGGAATAATTATCAGGTACGTTTATTTTAACCCAACTGTTTTTGGCCATCTTTGAACGCAACGCTCTTTGTAAACACCTGTATCTTTAGGCTAATTAGCTTAATGTGTAGCATGACATTAGCTGGAGGCTTTTACTCACAACCCATCGTGTATCCTCGCAGGGTGGACCTGTGGTTGAGATATTCAGTGGACAAGGAAAAGACCCTGTAGCAAAATGGAAACTTTGTGGAGGTCCGTCCTTCATACATAAGGTGAGTTTTCAGAGTTGCTAGTCTACCCTACCACATTCACATGCATGAATTCACCCTGGATATACTACAACACATATAATCTGATAAAGTACAATACATATCCTAAAGTCAGTGGTTGGAAGTAACTAAGTACATTTACTCAAGTACTGAACTTGAGTACAATTTTGATATACTTGTACTTTACTTGAATATTTCTGTTTATGCTAATTTGTACTTCTATTCCTCTTCAATTCAGAGATAAATCGTGTATTTATACCCCACTACATTTATTTAATACCTTAAGTTTCTTTACAGATTTGGACTAATGATGTGAAATATAATCAACACTTAAATAAGACTTTAGTTACACCTGGAGTAGCGTTCAAGCTACCCTGCAGTATACAAAGTCATTAAAACTAGCAGCACCTTTACCAGCCTTGATAACACATGAATGCATCAAGAATCACAATCAGAACATATAATATTATTCTGTAATGGACCAATTTGCTTAATAAGTACTTTAACGTTTGGTACTTTGAGTATGTTTTGATGCTAATACGTTGTGTACTTCTACTTGAGTAACATTATGAATGCAGTTTTACTTGTAACAGAGTATTCCTACACTCTGGTACTTCTACTTTTACTCATGTACAAGATCTGAGTACCTGCCTAATGCCTAAAGTTCACAAAGTCTGAATAGTTACCACAGGGTTTAACTACCCCCCCCCTGGATAACATGCTGCATTGAAACAATACATTTAGGCTGTAAACCTACACTGTTTTACATTGTACAAGTTTCCATGGGTTATATCCTTTACAACCTTAACCCATAAGAACCCGGACCCATTTCTACTTTTGGGAAAATTAAGGGGAACATAATTTACTAAATAGACCACCTAGAACACATTTCTGACAAGAACCCCCCCCCCCCCCCCCCTAGTGTCAAATATCTGAAATGTCACATTGGGCTTTAATGGTAAAATAACTCTTATATATAACTTCATTAACAAGGATTCTTTTTTTCGTTTAAATGAGTTTGAACATTCTTTGAATTGAAGAATGAGAACATATCAACTCAATATAATTGAATCAGCTAAATTAACTGAGCAGATCATAATCATATTTCTAATTGCATATATGTCACTTTGGGTTTACTGTGAAAGTTTAGGGTTAAAGTCCCCAGTGTCACAGCAATGTTTTTCTCATTTGTTTCATATCAATTTGATCAAGAAATGTTTCTACAACAGGTTAAATGTAATAAAGGGCATGTTATGTAAGCATTTTCATTCTTAAATGGCTTGAATTTGACCTTTTAGCAACAAAAAAGCTAAAGCTGTATAAGGAACTTTCCAGAACATTTAAAGTTCATGTGACACCCGTGTCACGGTGGGTCCTTATGGGTTAAATTCAGAGTAGAATCTGGCTTACATTTTATATTAAAATTCTGTTCTTGACCCGTAGCCTTTTTTAAATTTCAAAACTCATGCTTACATAAGAAAAGTCTGCTCACAATGATGGCTGTAGCCCACTGTTAGTACACAACAATGGTCACTTCACTGAGCGAGGTCTTGTACTTAGCAAGCTCTCTGATGTATTATTTTTTATTTTCTAGGAGTACAATAAAGAAGTCAGAGGGTTTGTTTACTGTCTGAAGGGCAGCAGCCAGACAGTCAAGATGCAAATGCCAGAGAATGGGAAAATGTCTCGTAAGTAAACACACTTGCACCTAATAGTACATGACATTTTGGCTTCCCACATCTTAATAGTAATTTATTTATTTGCCTATACTTTTGTTAGTTGGACTTCTTCAAAGATTCTTGGTCCTTCAAGTGCATATTGAACAGTGCAAGGATTTTTCCATTGAGCTTTTGTAAGTACAGCAAGCTAAAAAGTTTTCTGTTCAAAATACTTAATTTTTTATTGCATGAACATCTCAGTAAATCTTTTATTCTGTGGTTGATAAATGAATGTCATAACTGCAACTGTGGCTCAATATGGTAGAGACATCAATCTCTAATGGAGTGAATACAAACTTTGTTACACAAGGAAAAACATATTATAATATAATGTGAAATCTAAAAAATATTAATGTAACTGGAGTGCATTCCCCTCAGACTACCTAAATAAATAAATATAAACAGTTTGTTGAAAGCCCTTGAGCCTCCTGGAATAATGACTTTATCAGCAATGCCTATTATGTACTCTAATTTGCTTAAATAATCATTTATGATTAAGATGTTATTAAACTACATGCTACAAAGAAAGCTTTTATCTTACCATCCAGAGTCAATTCTACAAGGTTATTTACAAAGGAATATTTTTAATTTGTAAAACATAAAATGATCTGCATGGATGTTTGTTGATAGAAATAAGAATGCCTCTGCAATTTACCAGTGTTCTCATGATCAATAAAACACTGTTTGTGCAATCAACACTCTACAAATGTCTACAGATATAAAGTATCTCCCTGTGCTCAAAACTCCTGATGTATGTATTCTCTTCATAGTAAAATATAATTCATTACGGTCTCAGGCTCTGGTTTACAGTATCGATGCTGCTGTTTAGAAAGTGATATGGCATGCAGGCCCTCTATGAAACAAGGAGGACATACTGTCAGAACTTTAAATCATTTCTAAACTACAAAGTTACTAACCTACTATTTTACACGCACACTAAATCATTTTAAGAATATGGGGTAATATTGCTGGCGTTGCTGTTCTATTAGAGAGTGCCATGACAGCTGATTTCACGAGGCTACATTAAAGTAAAAGCTCCTTTTTAAGAGCCAACCTTATATAGACCAATAAAAGCTTGTGGCATTTTCTGCTCAGTACTTCCTTATGACACCATTTATGCTGATGATTATTTATATTTTCTTGTCTGTTATTTACAGGATAACCGATTTAGAGCACCTGAAAAGAAGACTTTACTTATCAACAGTACATAAAGAGTTGTCTGCCACACATTTGCATGCAAAGATACCTCTCGTAGGATTGAAACGCAGTGTCGTGAGTATCTTTTACATCCTTGACATGTTCTATTCTCAGAGTTCTTTCAGATATGTGCTTCTTTATTGTTTGTTTTATATCTCGTGAGCTGCTCTAAGAGAACCTTATAACTATAGTATCATATTGTTTCTTTTGTCTCAGTGGTCTACTTTGTGCATCGACCTTATATCATTCACCAGTGAACTGTTCAAGGGGTTTTTGACATTGGATGGCATCACTTTGTTTGCAACCTGTAAAGTCCGCAGAATCTTCACCATGAAAACAGTGCCTACCGAACTCTCAGGCGATGGTAATGCTTTAAACAAAACAGGTAGGCTGATTAAACAAAAGTGTAATCCGTAAAGTGCCCTCCCTGACTCGTTATTTAAGAGATAATAGCTTTGCACTGAAACTTCTAATCAATGCTCTTCACTTTAAATAGATTTAGTCTGTCTTTATTTAGAACTGTGTGTATGTGTGTTGGGAGAGAGAGAACAAGTTGGCTGTTTCTATGGTAGTTGGTAGTTGGCTGAGAGCGGTGGTTTTTGTTCAACTCTAAAATGGCTCAGCAGAGCAAACAGCTGCTCTCAGCACTGGCTGCTTACTGCACACATACGTTACTTGCCAGTTAACAAAAGTGCTACATGTATGTTATGTCAATAATAAGTGTTTTGGTTTATTGTCTGATTTGGCTTAATCTGAGCATGTTCTCTTTTTTTATCAAGATATGTTTCTCAGTGGAGCCGGTCTCATGGACTCGGTCCCTCGCAGCTGCCAGTTCCCGCCTGATGTAAACTACGTCACCCAAGTGTTGAACATGGAGAATTTACGGAAGGCAGACATGAGGGCTGGACTGTTGAGCTCTGACTGTGGTGGGTAAGAGAAAATCACATGATTGTAAAATGCTAAACATTGGTGGATAATATCTTAAGTACATTTACTCAAGCACTATATTAACATTTTTGTGGTAAGTTTTATTCTTCAGATTTTCCATTTTATATTCCACTACATTTGAAAGAAAAGATTGTATTTTTTAATAGATTTTTCTGACAGCAATAATATTTCAGCTATAACAACAGCATCAAAACCCCCATGTTTTAATCAAATATAAGCTTGGAAATGAAGCTCCCTTATCCTTTTGTTTTTCCATTTAAAGGGCTAGTGCATACGATTAAGTGACTGAATACAGCTCAATTAACCAGAGTTTCACCACTCTGAGCTACTGTAGAAACATGGAGAAATTAACCCGCTGCTAATTTACATGTGAAGGGCTCATTTTAGGCTGATGAAAAAAATAACAATTCTTAGCTTCAGGTGGTTATAAACGAATACAAATAAGTGTGTCACATGGGACCCTGGGTAGCTCAGTTGTTCTGCCCAGTACGCGGGTTTGACTCCCGAGCCTTCAGAAGGTTTCAGGCAAAGTTATTCGCTCTCTCAACTCTGCATCTCCAATAAAGGCGAACGCAAGAAAAGAATATCTTTAAAAATAAAATAGTGATGAATATTATACTTTCGCCAATAGATCCCCTTTATTCAAACACACTGCTCCATTTAAATAAATGTAATCTTTAATGCATCATAACATGTTTAAATGTATAACAAGTACTGTATACTGAAGGTTTGCTATTATATATTTAAAACGCAAGATATCTGCCGTTATCAATTAAACAGTTAATATACATAGAGATGGTGTAGAAATTGATGCACATAAATAAACAGCTTCCTATGATTTCAGACTGGGATTTTAATCTTTTTATTTTCCTCCCATGAAATGCCTTTAGGCCTCATTTTTATGTTCGTGTGCACCTCACCTGTACTCGGAGAGCTGCAATTATCTCCTCATATAAAAAGACATGCACCAGTAATCCAGCTCTGCCGCCTCTGTGGCCTTTCTTATCAGCGCTTATTTATTTGTTCTGACAGCTGTCTAAGTCATGTTGAGTCAACTGGCAATGCCCATGGAAGAGAGCAGTAACCACACACAACAAATAGCTTTTCCTAATTAGCATCAGCATTATTAGCATAACATTCCTAATCATAATTAAAACGATTGCTATTAAACTAGGCATCCAATTTAACTGTGACAAAGTTGCTTGGTGAATATTGTTGCTTCACTACCCAATCTGTCAGAAACTGTTAAAAGTAAGCGACGGCAGTATTTAACGCGCAGCAGCAAACAAAACGTCTGATAGATATCTAAGACATTCTTTTTCCAGGTCAATGAATTTGCACAGATCAAATCAACGCTCAAAATAAATAATGATCATCAATTCATCATATATCTTTTTTGATTTCTTATTGTAACCATATCCTTCTTCGGGATTCTGCAGATTGAAAATGCACAACAAAAATCCCTAAAAACTCTGAAACCATGGTCACTTTCGAGTCAAATCTGCTGTATCAAATGAGCGTGACTTCTCTTTCTTCACTCCGAGTGCATCAGCTTGGCTCTGTCTGTATCATCTTGGCAATCCTATGTGTTTTGTGTCTGCTTTTTGCTCTTATGACGATCAGACAGAGTGTGTTTTTCTGTTAGCATCAGCGGACGTGGTCGTAATGAGCAATGGCTCGGATACAGCAGGGTCAGGACACTACATCACGACTTCCTCAACAGGCCATTATTTTTACATGGAGCAGATTGATTGATTAAAGATTAAACACCAACTCAAACAGTTCAGCAGACAAGTTAAATGTATGGACAACCATTAAACCTCAAATACATGTTTCTATCAATTGGCCCTAATTCAAAGTATATAAAATGCATGTTTTCTATTGACAGTAAAAACTTTGAAAAGACTTTCTAGCTAGTGTGGAGGCGACTTTTCCCTGATCTTGAAAAAGATGATAGTGTGAGGCGTTCACTCTGACCTGGCGTCACCATGCATTTGACCTTTCATCTATATAAACCGTAGCTACTTGATCATTAACATGACTGACAGTCAGATTAAGGAAATTGTTTAACATTTGTAGCTCTAGTTTCCAGGTTATTGAGGTCCTTTTTCATCTAGTCTCTTTTTTTTGGAGTCAGAATCAGAAACGGGTTTATTAGCAGGTAGGTTGACACGTACGAGGAATTTGACTTGGTGTCGTGGTGCATACATAAAAGTAAAACAAAAATAAAAAAACACAGATAGCAAACTATTTTAAGAACACTATAATAACATAACAAATAATAATAATAAAAAATATAGTAAAATAAAAAATCAAATAAAGCAGTATTTACATTGAAATAGGATGGAATAAAATATGTGCAGTAAAAAAAACAGATATTGTCAGCATTGTGTGCATTAAAGGGGACCTATCATGCAAAATGCACCTTTGTACGTCTTTTATACATGAATATGTGTCCCCGGTGTGTCAGGGAACTCACCAAGTGTCAGAAAACACAACCCTCTCTCTTTTCCTCCATACCCAAAATCTCTAAAAACGGGGCTGCAACGGATCTGATACAGACTGATACGGATTTGAAAATAGTCTGACGTCAGTGACGAGGAGCTCCGCCTATATGGCCAACTCTCCACCAATCAGGGGAATGAGAGGTTGCCGTGGCATGGTAACAGCATGGTAACAGCATGGTAACATGACGCTCGTAACTTGGCCCCCTCCTTTGCAGGGGGGCGTGGTCAGCTGCAGCGCATGCAAAGACAGGGGTGGAGGAGAGCAAAATAGAGCGAATAGAGCCCTACAATATATTATTCAAATATAGCATGATAGGTCTCCTTTAATGTAATGCATAGAGTCTGCGTTGTGGCTGAGGTAAAGCAAAGGTTAGATTATGTATGAGAAAAAGATGTAAGAAAAATGGAAATCTTAATTAAACAACAAAGGTCTATGATTGAAATTTCGTTTCAGTTCCTGATCAGTCTACCACTGCCAGATCTACCGGTTATAGAAGACCCAGGCTTCAGGGTGTTTTACACACAGCCTCAGGCTCCAGGGTTTCAGGGCCACCCACTCAAACTGGAAGAAAAAGCAGTGCAGCCTCAGAAGAAATGGATAAAAGTCTTCTCTTTGTATCGAATGTGGTAAGCTCATGAATCCCATAATATCAAACATTACTATATGTCATACATGACTATAAATACAAAATAGATCATGTTGTTTTTGAACTTGTTTTCCTTCTCTTGTTGTTCCCTGCAGGCATCCCCGTCTAGTAAAATGAACCAAAAAGTTGCTGCAGAAAGTGAGAGCAGTGCCAAACTGAGGGATCATTTATCACACGGAGAACCTTCCCAAATTCTTCTCCAGGGTAGAATCGAATAAGAGTTCGATGTGTTGTTTTATCTCAGCTGCATGCTTCCTACACTACACCTATACATGCCTTTGTCAGCTATTATATCACCAAATATATTTGTATCTTTATTTGTTTAAGGCGTTATATATACAAACTTACTTATTCAACTAAATGAAAATCTGTGTAGGAAGAAGCTGACCTTTCATTTTCTTCTACCTGTTTTTCTGTGGATAAAAGACTAAACTTTATTATTAATATTAAAAATATAGTATATATATATATATATATATATATATATATATATATATATATATATACACAAAACGTTAAGTTGATTAAAAATTATCAGATTAACAATAATGCTTAACACCTATATAAGTATATACTGTGTATATAAATATATGTATTAAATATATTTATATATAAATATACATTGTTAAACAAGCACATCTGTATATCACACTTACTGTAGGATATCGTAGAATAAAGCAGCCATTACGCTCACTCACTGAATCACAACATGGTTTAGAGTTTAGGGGGGTGGCCAGTGTTGAATACAGAACAATAAACACAGATAACAAGACAATGCTGTAAAGTAATTAAAATATTAAGTGAAAGGAGGTTTGTTAGTCTTTAAGTGTATTGTATTCCTTCTCCTCAGATCAGCTTCTAGGTTTAAAAAAAATGGAGATCATTGATTGTTCAATGACAGCTTTGGCTATTGTTTTTCCTAATGTGTGCACACATTACCAACCAGAGCGGTTTTTCTTTTTGAAGCCAGTGAGTGTTTCCTTACAAAGCCCATGATCGACAGATGATTCTCCATCTCTGATTGGATGTTAAATCCCACACTGGCCATTTTTTTGTATGTAGTTGTAGGTCTCTGGACCCAATAGGAAGCAGCAAACATGCAAACAGATCATTGGAAAGAAGAAATAAAGAAATAAATTGATATATTTACAGTCTTAGTTGTAATGTGGACCAAGAAGCAGAATGCAGAGGTAGAGCAGTTATCGCAAAAGGCAGATTATTTGGTCTTTGTTCAAAAGCACAGTCATTAATAGGTAAGCAATCAGCGAGACCGACAGAGTCAGAAAGGGAGCTGGCAGTGATGCATAAATAACACACATGACACAATTTGCCAAAGAGAGCGAGTTGGTGGACCTGTTTTTAAGTGACTAATAGGCGGTAATAAGGAGCAGAACATTTAAAATTGAACTAAAATGGGAGGCTGAACCCAGCACAGAAACATAGCTGACAGGTTTTTAGAAAATTCCAGAGAATGAAAGTTTAATCCTGTAGCTAGAAAGTGTTTTTTCACTTCTCAGCATTGGCTTATAGAGGAGATACCAATATCATTGCGACCCTACCCTCATTAATTAATAACGCAAAAAAGCCAAACATTATAATTTGAAAGAACCAAACTTAAATATCCCTTTTTCTCGTATGCAAACAAAGCAAATCAACCAAGCTCTAGTTGTTTGTCTTGCAGTGAAAATGTTATAAACTGATCAAGGGACATGACGTAGGCTTTGACTTGGTACCTCCTAATATCTTGTACCCTGGGTGACTGAGAAACAGCATCGATGGAAATCACTCTGTTGGTTTTATTGTAAGGCTTGTGAATGTGATGTGCACCAATGCAGATCCGGTGTATAGCTGCATGACTTAAAGTGCGCTTCTTGCTGTAAAAGCGCACACTGCATTCCTCTCATCACATCTTCTTGGCCTTAAGAATGCATCCGATTATTCTTGTGCATCAGTTAAAGCATTACATATCAACCAACAAAACAAGATCCCGGCTCTGGCACAGTTTATTCTCCCAAGCACCTAATAACAGCTTTTTCCGTTGGTAATGCACCATCCTTTGAGCATGACTGAATGCAAAAACCGATGATTAAAATTCCTTAATCAGCTGAACATAATGTAGCAGGATGTATTCTCCCTGCACTGAATGAATGTAAGAAGCTCAGTTACTGAAATGCCTTCATTAATAAGGACTTTCACAGTGCATAATCATTTCACAGATATGCTTCTGGCAAGCTATAATAACATTGTTTGACTGTTTTGTGTTATAAAGCTGTTCTAATGTTGAAAGGACTCTGTAGGAACACTTGGCAGTTTACAGCCCCATCCCCCGAACGACAGAGTGTTTGACAAGCAGGGATCTAAGAAGCTCCGGGTGTACAGTGCAGGAAGAGAGAGGCTAGCATCGTCAGGTGAGATCACTTCACCGCGTGTTCACTGTGTATGTTGGAATACACAGTTTTAACGTGTTTACAGGTTCAACACCGTAGGTTATTTAATTCTGATTAACAGCCTCTCCAGATGCTGTTCCTGGTGGCGACAGAAAGAGAAGTAAAACCAGGGAGAAAGGCAATTCAACACCCAGTAGGCAAAAAAGCGAGCAACAACCCCTGACCCTAACAGAAACTACAAAGCCCCTCACAGCAGGTGAGGCTATCGTCTGCTGTGAATAGACAGGGAGCGTAGCAGCAGATGGAGCAGCAGGGAGATGTGTGCACTTTCATACTGAGTGATGGTTTGAAGAGTCTAAAAAGATAGTGAGTGATGGGACAAAGGAGAATAATATGCCTATTGAGTGATGTTGGTTTCTACTTTGCCTGTTCTGATTTTTCCAAGGAGCTTTTTTATACTTGAGAAAAATACCTATTTCCAGTCTTAATTTAAATCACTTCAAAAATATTGCATGAATTTTAATGAGCCACTTTCAGTGCTGCATACACCATCACTTTTGTTCCCCCTTTTTAATTTTGCATAGCCCACGTCAAGGCCATTTCAGGATTTGTGTAGGCGTACCTACTTCTATCTTAGCCCAAGAAACCCCCCTCCACACACACTTACACACAGGCGCGCACACACACACACACACGCCACACACCCACCTACACCAGCATTGTCCTCAGAAAACGTGTGCACGTGCTCTGAAAGCTCATCTATGGATGTTTCTCCACAGCAATAAGCTCCTTGGCTGCAGCCCTGCCCACAGACTGAAAGCAGTTAGTTCATTAATGGTAATGTGGCACATTAAATAAAAGTCAGAGGGGCATCTCCTGAGCCCAGGGTTTGCCACACAGTGGGCAATTAGAGAAAGTGATTATACTGTCGAGAGGTTCAGATGTGCTCCCTCATTCAGATAGTGGTGCCACTCCCTTTGATCTCAGGCCTACGGAGGAGGTTAAGGATTCAGTGTGTCATGCATCTTTCATTTAAGGCTTGAAGAGATTGTACCCAGATATTCAGGAACATACTGTAACAGTTTCTCTTTGTTCTGTAACAAAAAATTGAAAGCCAAAGATAAAGCGGAACGGCAGCAACATTTACCTGGAAAATATGTCAGTTTTAAAGAGTGTTTGTACAGAGCTTTCATTGTTTGAGTGACAACGTTGCAGTAAACTGTTGTCCTCACTACTGATTATGTTGTTCATATTATCATTAAGGTATCAGCATAGCAGGGCTATAAAAAAAAAACCCTACTCCATCACATCAGTGCTGGAGAGATGAATGGCCTTTTTCTGGCAGGCAATCGAATTCATTACAACTTTGCATATTTTTATTATGTATTTTTATGTGCATATAATCAAATGAAACTAGAAGGATATTAGTCACACGATGAAAAAACTCAAATCATTCACTGTAATTAGATTCCTATCATTATTTTTTACTCCACCTGGCTAAGACCTTCATGTGTTTTTTATAACAGACTTATTCATGAATCCAACGATTTGTACACTCAAGGTTGACTTTTCAAAAAAGAATTTTCTCCTGCTTCAGTTTTAAACGTTAGGATTTTTACTTTTGTTCTTTTATTTCAGAAGAATGTAGCCTCAGGGAGAGTTCAGGATCTGCCCCCTCACCAGCAGAGCCCTTGCGCGGCTCCATCGGTCCAGGTCTTTCTCGTGACCTGCAGGTCGGGAGCAGCTGGGAGAGTAATGACGGGTCCGAGCCCCAGCTCACTCTGCAAGAAGAGGTGTTCACTTTCTCATCCCAGCCACACTCACCCAAACGAGGGCAAGGCCAGGGTGAGCAGGAGAAGATGGAGATGGGAGATGATCCGGTTCAGAGTGGAAGGCGGTATGAGGCCCAGCCCCAGGACGACTTCATCGGCAGTGAGAGTGATGAGGTATGTCTGATCTTTGTAGGGGCACGTGCACACTGCCAGTACTTTATGTGCACATTTGAAAAACACATGATTTGTCTCTTAGCAATGTAATCTGATCTAATATAATCTCAATAAATCATCAAATATTCAATGTTGTTATAATATTTCGGATTATATCCACATTTTGATTCCATTCAGTTTGATTTGATTCATTGATCAGTGGCAGTTAACTGCAGAATACCTTAAAGCTCCCATGTCATGCTTTTCCGGTTATTACCCGTCCCCTTGTGTGTTATGAAGGTTTTTATGCATGTAAACGGTGTGCAGAGTCAAAACCCTCAAAGTACACCCTGTAGCGAGTAAAACTCTAACACAGAAAATACCTCTCCAAAACGCCTCGTTGGAGATACGTCACTGCCCATTTGAGTCTTCCATTTAGTTCCGGGTACCGCCTGATGTCATGCGGTACCCGGAACGAAATGGACCAATCCCGAAGAGCTATGGCCACACCAGCAGCGGCGTGTTCCTCCAGAGGTTCGAAGAACCGGCATTTCACAGACGAAAGCTTCCAAAACATTGCCCAGTTTGAGGCCGGATATGCACAGCTTGTTTGGACCGTTTGGAGCAGGGGAAGATCCGGGTACACAACCTGTAAGTTTGCATTGTTATTTGTGTATTTATCAAACAAGACTGTTTAAATGTGTAAACTGTGTTGGACTGCTAAGCCATTGACACAGTGCTAACTGTGCTAACTAAGTTGCTAGAGTTTCCATATATCAACTCTAATATCAGCAGATGGCCTTGCATACATGTATCTCATAGCAGGAGAATGTCTGCATTCACACACAAAATACCTATTGACAGTATACTCCGGGTGATTTGCCGTGCGGTCAGTCGCGAAACGTAATTACATTATAGCTGGCGTAGCTTGTATGCAACCGATCTAACACACGGATCTAGAGCTAGGTTTGGTCGGAAAAACATTTTTGTGATGCTACGTTGCTAGCGTTTAAATATATCAACTACAATGTCAGCAGATGGCCTTACATGTTTGTCATGGCAGGAGAATGTCTGCAGTCACACACACGGAATACTCATACAGTATACTCCGGGTGATTTACCGTACATTGTGACAGTACATATACTGCATGTATAGCTAACGAGGCTAGCTGTATGCTAGCGCAAAACAATGTATTCATGCAAGTTACATTGTATGACCGAACGTAGCAGAATACCCGTATACGATTGCAATTATAAACACGTTATTGCTAGCCTAATATGAACCACTAGCTTTTGTTCATAGTAGTTTTATTACACTGCATTATAGTTGCCTTTCCTCCAAGCTAACGTTCATATCGTGTTAGCTACCAAGGTAAACAAAGCTAGGTTAGCATATTAGCAGGCAAGCTGTTCATTACACTCCTACCACAACTACTACTAACGAATCTAAAACAACTAAGTTTCTCTAATATTTTGTGATTTGCATTTGATTTCGTCCAGCCAGATCCTGGCGGACAATCCATGACGGGGACGGGACTTCTACTACTACTGAGGCCTCGTGCTAAAAGGCACCGGCTGTGCGCAGGCAAGATGCGAGGAGGAATGGATGATATACCGTGTATATATGTATCTTTATGTTCATTTTGTACATTTCTAAAAATAAAGTTTAATGGAAATACTTAGTAGGCCTATCCTTTCTTCCCTGAATTATTTGCTCCTATAACATATCATTCATATATAGCAAACCATGATTTGATTTCTCATCAAACAGTAGTAGTTTATTACAGGTAAAAATAACTTACTCTTTGTTATGACCGGCTCGTAGGCCACAACGGAAAGGCAAGGAGACATACATGAGTTTACAAAACCACGGCACATTTATTGTGGTAAATGCAGAGATAGGTGGTCGGGGAGAGAATCGCCGAGTTTGTCCTTCTGCAGCCGCTTTGGAGAGAGACTCCGGGCCGCTGGGATTAATAGGACCGGCTACGGAGGTGTCCGTGATCGCGCTGATTACCCTCTTCAGCTCCACCCCACCGTAAGCCCTGCAACACACCTGCACAAAGGCCCTGGGGCCGTCACACTCTTCTATAACAACAGTTGTAGGTTCAGTTCGGTTAGTTAGCTATAAAATATCAGCTGTACCGACGCCATTATTACACTGATGTTCCCCGAAAAAAGCGGGCGGAGCCTCTCTGGTGGTTGACTAATCAGAACAGAGTGGCCGAGCTGACCAATCGGAGCACACTAGGCTCACAGGGAGGGGGGGGCAAGAGCTCCAACGAGTCGTTTAGTGGAGAGAGTGAATACTGCTGAATACACATGCTTGACAGAGATGCTGTATGCAAAACCAATGTGAGTTTGAAAAATTGCACAGTATAAATCTATTTTAGTATACCTCAACAATGTAATTATGATCAGTGGAAATGGCCATGACATGGGCCCTTTAACTTCAAAGGTCAGGGGGGTCATTTATTGTCAGAATATTTAATAATGGTTCATAGACTTATAATTAAGATAAGTCGTTTTTCTATTGCTGAGCACAGAAATCTAAAGTGTTGAACCAAGTGCAAAGACCTTCAAAGAAATGCTAATTGCTTTTACTTATTTAGAACGTTATAATAAGTCTGATTATTCAGACTTAAGAACCCAAATGTAGTTGCGAAGCTGATTAGTTTAGCTTAATAAAAAAATGTGTTGCATTAAATGTAATGTGACCTTTGAATGTTAAAGAAGAACATCCACTGCTGAAACAAAAGAAACCTTACCAGAAACTGATTCTGGAAATCTCTGTTGCATGCATGTGTAACATCTCATGTTTCAATATGCTTTTTTTAACTTGTGATAACATCCAGAAAGTATCAGTTTATTTCCTGGTCATTTTTAATGGAGTCAACAGGAAGCCTGGGAAAATGCCCCTATTCCATTGCTATGTGTGCATGTGCAGATAAACATCTATAGAGCTCACATCAGGTTGATCTGGTAAGAACAACAGTACACAGGTTCTGTTTGCTCGTGTTACGGTGACATTTGAACATTTTCCCTGAAGTTTCTTTTCAGCCCTAACCAGAGTTGACATTTTGATTTTGCACTTTTGTTTTTGAAGAAGGGCTTTATGTTTATATGTACCTCTGTTGAAACATTTTCATGTTCCTTGGCTGCCAGTGTTCATAGCTTACAAGCCACAAATAAATTGTTATTAGCTTATAACCAACAGTGTTTCATTGTACTACTTCCCAAGAAAAGCTAACGAAAAAAGAGGAAAATATACAGTGTCTGCTTTTTGCAAGCAAGAAGTCATACAGCACACAGTGTTCCAAAACTGATTTGAAATGTTTCCCTAAAATGAGCCACCCAAACACTTCCAAAAGTAACGAACACCCGCCAACCATAGCTTGGGTTTTTTTTGGTAGAATGTTACTACTGATGTTAAACAGCTGAGGTTGAAGGAAATTGGATGACTTTTTTAATTACAACATTTCACAATGAAATAACACTAAAAGTGTGTCTAAGGGGGGTGATTAAAGGAGCACTTTTTCAAATTAACACATTAAAATCAGCTCCCATCACTCTGCATGAAGTATAGTTAAAAGGTGAATAATAAAGCATGCACTTTCAATACTGTTAAAAAAAAAGAGTAAGAAATTGGATCTAGTAAAATGCTCAGTGTTTTGAAACTACCAGCAGGAAGAAGGGCATTTGAAGTGTTATGCTTCTCACGTACAACTTTTCTGTGAGATGGTCAGTTTGGAAGTGACTATTCTTCAGAGGTGAAAATGAGCCACGCTTCTGTAATATCCTAAATAAACACAGTTTGTCTAAAAGGACACAATGGCTTTTTTTTGTTGCTATCCCCAAAGATCATATATTGGATAACCACAACTTCTTCAAATATAGACTGCTCTCCAACAGGCTGGAGCATGTAGTAATGTGTTTCTGTCGTATATTTGTATGAAGGCTGTTAGAGCAAGGCTGTTAGAGCAAGGCCGCTTGTGGTGAAGCACGAAGCTGAAAATTGCACATTGCCCCAGATGGGGTGGAAACATGTGGAATAACTAGAGTTATTGTTACTTATTCCCATTGAGCAAAGATTTGTTTTTGAACTATAGTCCCACTATGGAGCTGTTTATCCATCCATGTAGGTCTTTCAGATACTTTTAAGCAAATGCAGTGTGCTTGTTTCAGAAATATCCTCAATATTACTTTTTCTTGATTGCTTATTTCTCAGGAAACATCAAGCATACCAAATAGCAATCAGCAGGGCTGGGATGGAAAGCAAATTATCTGTCAACACACTTTTCAAATCTCAATTTATCCAAGACTTTTATTTATTGGTTTTTCCAGGAAAACTCAAGGATAGCCACTGCTATCGGGTTCTGCAAAATGTAAGCGTTAAGGCACCATTTTGTTTCATTTAAAATATATACCCATTAAACGTATTGAGGAAATAAGGGGCTAATCATAATTAGGGATTAGTAAACTTCTAAACAGCTGTCAATAAGGCATGAGTATTGTTGGAATTGCTGTTAAAATATCAACACTATTGTGAATAAACTAATCCAGTGTGTGCCCTTGGCTCTGTCGGCCCTTCCTCTTGCAACAGATCAGACGTTTCAAACGGACTACAGAATCCCCTCGCTCCCTTTGTCTTTGGGGTTATGAATGTGAATTGAATAATTGCAAAATCTGCTGAGATATCAGAAAAGCAGCTAAGTTATTACTGAAATCCATCAAAACTTGTTCTGTAAATTATTAACAGCAGGATTTTTCTTTACCTTTTCAACACTGTGCAAAGATATTCATAATAGACAAAATCCCCACATGATACCTGCTTGCATTGAAAGGAGTCTTTAATTATAGCAGCAACATCACCACCTTTCCTGTCATGTCGAGAAACATTCGTAACATTAAAGTTTGGAGGTGTTAGGATCTGGGGTGACTGCTGCCATTATCCAGCCAGGTTACAAATAATACAATCCAGATTATATAAATGATGTGACTTGGGACACATTCGTCAAAGGTGTCCGGAGCTTAAAAATAATGGTGGATTTGAATGCCTCGGGGGGGGGGGGGAAAGAAATGGTAGTAGGGAGAAGAAAGGGACAAGAGGTAATTTTGGTTCTCACAGTGACCAGTGGTCAGTGAACCCTAGGAGTGGAGAGGAGGGGGAGAGAGTGACCAGTAAGGAAGGAGAACTGGATGGATTTCCGGGTTTCAATTAAATGAATCCCCACTGGTGGTATTTGGTATGTTGGGTGAAGACTTTCCTTCTTGGTTTGTCCCAAATTCTGTCTTCAGACAGGGGCTTAAATGGCTCGGTCCTGGTTTCCTCTGTGAGCCCTGATGGATCCCTTCTGTTTATGAAATCCTGTTGGTTTTAGTTAGCTTTGTATTAGCATTACTCTTTGTCAACGGCCCATGGTAAAGGTGAGTGACTTCCACAAAGTCTATACTGTACACCCCCTTTTAATCAGTGGATCGAAGTTTTATGCACATTCTAGAGACATTTGTAAAAGCTTCCTAATCTCAGGTCCAATTCACTAGCTCAGTGTAGTGACACAACTAAAGGCTTGATTCATCCTGTCCGAAGTAATAACAGACTGTGACTGTGGTTGGCCATCTAGCAGAAGTTGGCCTGATTTAGATTTCTATTCATTTATGGTAGGTTGCTCATTTCTTGGAGCAATATCATCTTTCAAGTAGTTGCATCAGTTTCATGCAATTCTTTTGAGCTAACATTTGTTCTTAAACAAAGAGAAATATTAACGGCAAAACAAAGCAATGAACCTGCAGTGTGCAATATGAACTATTTTGAAATGGATAAGAGACAATAGAACCAATGTAAAAAAAATAATATATATATATATATATTCAGGAAAATGCAATAATAAAACCCGAACAGATGCAGTAGTGCAGCGACTACTTTCATGATACTCATACTCATTCATTGTTTATTCACTTGCACTTGTTACAATGATAAAGCATAGACAGAAAAGAGAAAACAAATAACATATGGAGCGAGTGAGATAAGAACCTTGAGGTGCTTATGATAACCTTTCACCCCGAAAAAAACAAAGCTCAGAGATGAAAGAAAATGCCTCAAAAAGAGACAGCTGGAGGAAGAAATGAAGAGATAGTGTCATTTTGAGGGAAGCTTCAAACTGTAATTGATGAGAAACAATGTCTATATTATGAACTGAAAAAGTGTGTGCTTGCTGTCTGGGTGTAAGTATTATACAATTGTAATCTTCTGTATTTTAGGGAGAAATGCAAAGGCTGGTGTTAACATTTAAAATATATAACAGCGTTCTATGCTTTAAATGTAAACTTGCATCACTGTGGCGGTCTGTTCATACGGTTTACCTGTGTTCGGTGAGGTGGTTTTTAGTGTAGAATTTTTTTGTGAAGGTTTTCGTGCTTTTGTTTTTTAACTTTTCTTACTGTGAAACTGGGTCACACTTGGAATCTATTGTTGCTGTTGTGAATCCAGCTGCCACCCTCAGTAAATAAGCAAACTTCTCTGAATCACATATCTTTCGATGGCGAGCGTTTGATATTCAAAACTCTTTTTCAGTGGAGTGTTCCTGAAATATTGAAAATAAGTATAACCTTATTGGTAGGTGACACATCGTGAAGTACATCACAGTTTAAAGGGGGGGGGGGGGGAGATTAGCACACTTAAAGAGAATGCCATTACCCTTTTGAAATGTAAGGTTAATTTAAAGCTAAGCCACCAATACCCGATCAATCCCAATGACTGTTAGACATCTCATTATCATATTTAATTAAGCCAACATCAATCTAAAGGACAGAACACAACATTAAAGTTGTTCAGGTAACACTAGAATCAGCCTACTCTTAGGTCATTACTAATCATCTGTTTTTACAGTGGGTTTTACAATCATTTAAACATCAACAATTGTATTTCTCTGTATTTCTTTAAGGATAACAGCTTCACCAAGATCAACCATGCTACTTCAAGATCTCCTAGTCCATATTTGGATGGTCAACTTGAAGTCCACCCTGAATCTCAAAACATGGACCAAACAGCACCAACGGAGCTCAGTCCAGCTTCCACCGGCATGCAGTCTCCATCCAGTGGGGGGGCGGAGGCAGCTGAGATGGCCCCCACACGCTGCCTCTCACCCAGTGTGACACCCAGAAGGCAGGAACGCAAGTGTGGCCCGCGTGGATCAGACACACTGAACCAGTTTGTGGATGAGAACAGCAGTGTCACGCTTTCCAGAAGTCTCCTGCATGAAGTCAAATTAAATGCCTCCACACAGAACAAGGTACTGCTTATATATACACAACAGGCTATGGCTCTATTTTGTTTGTGACAGAGAGGCAGAGCTAAGAAGGACTCTTGAAAAAGTTTGTTACACCGTGCTGAGACGGATCAGACTACGCTCTGTTGCAAATTGAGGTTGGCCGCTGCTCCAGTTGAAAAGATCCAGGATCAGAGGATTGTCAACTGGAGCGATCACAAGGCCTGAGAGGAGATCTGTCACTTGGCTGTTGCTTTCTGCATTTACGCGACTCACTGCTGAGACGAGTCCCAGCATCCTTCTACGGTACAACTCCTAGCTGATGATTTGTGCCAACTCCGGCAGGCAGCATGCAGTGAAAGCTTTGACTGAAAGGTTGTCAGAAAAATATGACAAGGATTTTGTTTCCCTCCCTACAGCCCTGGTTTATTGACTGCCATTAATTCGACAGCAGGGAAACACTAGGCTTCCTTGCACAAATCCAGTTAGCATAGCACTCTCTTAAATCAATAGATCCACTGTTAAAACACATTTTCTTTAGAGGGTAAGGAGTAGTGTCCAAAGCCGCCTTGAGCTCTGTCTGAGACCACTGTCTGCTGTTTTTCTCTATTTTGTTGTTTGCACAAAACATTGTATCAACTATGTGGAGAGTGTATCTGTGGTTCTGACTAATTGAAAGACATTCTTTTTGGGATTTCCTTCAAATAAGTAATGTATTTGTGTACAGGTGATCAATTTAAAGGAAGAAGGAGCCAACACACTACACCCTAATGACTCCAGTGTTTACAACTTACACCCGCTTGGCAGTCTACGAACACATGGGGAAGATGAAGAAGAGCTTCGAATGCTGGCTAGTCTCAAAAGAGAGCATGAGGAAGATGAATGTAAAGCCTCAGGCCTCAGTGCATCTCAGATCCAACACTGTAATGTCAGCGTTAGCATGAGCAGTGACGACGCTTCTACCTGGACCCACATCTCCAAGGTCTGTACCATCATCCCCTTCTACTTTTTGATTCTTCACTAACGAGCAGCACTCATGTGCAGCTCGTCTCACTATTTACAATCATTAGCACGTTGTCCTTCTCTCTATCGCCCGTGTGGAATAATTATTTTGACCCCGGTTGATCCTCACCCTTGTTAATTTACATATCAAGCCCCGGACTTATGCAAACGTAAAGTGCTAATACACCTTTTTCTCCGGCGTGTTTTCTGCATTACAAAAGATTATGGAGATCGAAACACATTCATTGGCCTCTTATAGCTCTTAAAAGCACACTGGCATAATATCCACAGTTTCCCCCAGTGACTAGAAAATATTTAGGTCATTTGAAATGATCCACACAAGTCCTTTTAGAATTCAAGGATGGTGCGGTTTGCTCTTGGCTATTGAAGGTCATTTATATCTATGGGCAATTAACATAAGCACATTGCACTTATGAAGAGAGAACACTGCCCTGCCTGGCCCTGCTGGGCCACTGCACGATCCCCAGTGAATAGAATGATTACAAATGCTGGGGTCATAGCCCTGTTACTATTTCTCTACATGCAGGTATCCATTAATATACTGAGATTCAAGCAGAACTGTGACTTCATGCAGGGATTATCATCTCATGGTTTCTCCAGAGGACACAGTGATGGGGTGTCAAATCAAATGTTGTGTCTTCGTACTGTACCCTCAGAACAGTTTTCCACGGTGACGAGTTAAGTTTCCACTCGACTTGAACAAACCCCGATGTGATCCTTTCCAAATCAGTCACAGTGGTTTACTATTCAAATACATATGGCAACAGCACCACCATCAGCATATTAATAAAATGCTTTGCCAAAACGAGAGAACACAGAAAAGTAATTTATTTAATACAAATATTGTTCTTATTTGATGAAAAGTTTTGAAAAATAAAACTTAAAGGTAGGGTAGGTAAGAATGGAGAAACCAGCTCAAGTAAGCTAGAATTTGAAAATACACAACCAGAAAAAATCTGCCACTTCCTTACAGAGCCCCTCCTCCAACACACACAAACGCGCACATGACCAATGAGGGCACGAGATAAGTTTGTGCATGAGATGGAAGGCTGACAGGCAGGTAGGTCATCCAGTTATTTGACCCGGGCCAGCTCAGATGATTGGTCGTGCTTTTTACAGCGCCACGGCTTCCACAGATGACATTATTTTATGTATTTATTGTCAAAGCATTTAATGTATTCATTGCTGTCGGGATGTTAAGAGCATTCCATGGAATATAACAAAAAGTGTTTCTGAAGTGAATTACCTACCCTACCTTTTAAATAAAAACCTAACAGGTGTCTGTCAAAGATAAAAAACAAGAAAAGGTTTGGGGGCCTTGGAAGTGAATAGTCACAAGCCATGTCTTGCCTCTAGATGCTGTGATTCAAGTGCCTGCTGTTGCCGTCTTTAGTGTTGTGTCCACTTAGATGTCAGACACCTTAATATGTATTTGATGCACATTCTCCCTGTGCGCACATGACTGAGGTAAGAACTGCCAAATCAGAGGTTCTTCTGATGGACCATGACGTCTGGTTAAAGCTACAGATGGCAGTATGAAAAAAGATGACACTCAAAAATAAGAAGTCTGACCAAAATCCTTTTTGAGTTTAATACTCCCCCTGATATCAGACAGAAGGTGGGTCCATTCAAAGGTCTATACCAAGGCAAATACTCACCCTGTCTTAGCTTGGAAAATGTCAGCTTCTTTTAGGGCTTAACGCTATATTTCATCAGCATTAACATTAAGTGTGCATGCACATTATTCAAATTGGAGGACTTGCAATGTCGTCTAATGAAATCAAACATATTTTGCTACAACTTTTTTACTGGTTGATGATACCAAAAGAAAACTGCCATGGTTCTCACTTTCCTTGAGCAATCCAATGCAATGTTTCCCATTAATTACCTACAGTCTGGGTTTGTCTGTTTAATAATAGAGCGTATATATTTTTGATCTTTTCATGAGTTGGGTCTGAGTCTGTCCACTCAGTGGGTCAAAGATGGCCGCCCTTGGCCGGAGGTTTTATTTTTGTCAGCCACAGCTGGCTATAGGTTTGAGTAGTGTGCTGTGAAAAAGGCTTGGGATGAAAGAGTCTAGGAGCTTCACATAGCTTGGACCTCGCCCCCTCAGTGCAAAGTAATGCTGCAAAGTCAACAACCCACCCGATTCATATTAAAACACTGATCCTTGTGGGTGTGACTTTTCTATGTGTCATTAATGTTTGTATCTATAACCTGCAGCCAAAATGTAAATTATCGAATGGTTAACTAGAGCAGGAAAATTGCCACAACTGATTGCTAATGTGAGCAGTGTGAAAGATTAAATCTAGTTTTTAGAATCTACACCCTAAAAATGACACTAGATAATGATCAGATTTAGCTTTCCATATAAAGATGATGAGATGCCTCTTCTTCTGTCTAACATTCTGCCAGTCGGTGTCTGTGCCAGAAGCTCTCCAAGCCATGGCTTAAACATTTAGAGCAACATAGTCAATGTTCAGAAGATGAGTTCAGTAATTGTACAGTGAAACAACTCTTTACCTAAACCACTACATGTCCTTTACCTTTTCCGTCACATATAAATAAGTTATATCCTGAAACACCTACATTGGCATTCAGCCAGGTTCCTTTGCGGAGAAAAGTGTCTGCTGTCGCTTCACTAAATAACACATGTAAGAAATTCCAATTCTGGAAGCAAGCTTCTTAATTTAGGTGTGCAAGGATGAGTCCTAAATAGTTCTTAAATCAAAGGAGGATAATTAATATTAGATGTGTTAGGAGAGGAATACATTTTAGATGGGAGAGGAGTGGCAGGTCTACAATGTGGGGGTTAGTAAAAGGAATAGCATATATAGACAAAAAAGAATAAAGTGGGGCATATCCAACAGCAATCACCTGGAAACTGACTTGATAAAAAAGGCAGTAAGATGGATGTTAAAAATAAATTATCTGGCACCAGAACAGTTTGGTTGGATATTGCCAAACAAGTCTGTGCAGCCCAGAAATGCAGTGCAGCAAAAACAAATGTTCTGATTCAAAGGTACCTGCTGAGTTTATGTATCCATAACAGAGGGCAGGCAAAGAGCCAGAAATGATTCAGTCTACTACAATGCTGATCAGAGACCAGCAGAGCTCTTTTGTTTATAGCATCATTTGACTGAGCATGCAGGGTAGCAGATGATGCTCAGGAGTGGTTAATGGTCAAACGTTAGAGGTCAAGACTGGGGCCGTTTCTCAATGTCGAGTATACCTGCTGCAGAGACACTATTTCAAGTATACCACGTCATCGAGTGGCGCCGAATGCTGGGCATTTAACATGCATTCAAACAGTCCTTCGGCGCCACTCGATGACGTAGTATACTTGAAATAGTGGCTCTGCAGCAGGTTTACTCGACATTGAGAAACGGCCTCTGACTACATTTTCTTTACGGTTTTAAGGAAAAAGGCGTAGACAAAGCTGGTGTATAGCCAGAGGTGGGAGAAGTACTCGGATCTTGTACATGAGTAAAAGAAGTACCAGAGTGTAGGAATACTCTGTTGCAAGTAAAAGTCCTGCGTTCAAAATGTTACTCAAGTAAAAGTAAAAAAGTATTAGCATCAACATATACTTAAAGTACCGCAGTAGGACTTATTATGCAGATTGACCTATTTCAGAATAATATATATTATATGTTTTCATTCTGCAAAGTAACTAAAGATATTAAATAAATGGAGTGGATTAAAAGTACATGATTTACCTCTGAATTGTAGTGGAGTAGAAGTACAAAGTAGCATGAACAGAAATTCTCAAGAAAGTACAAGTATCTCAAAATGTTACTTAAGTACAATACTTGAGTAAATGTACTTAGTTACTTCCCACCTCTGTTTATAGCAAACTTTAAGCTTAGACTTTTTAAAGTTTTTTTTCTGAGATGTAAGATTTTGTTCCAAGTCTTCACATAGACTCTGCAGCTACAGGCAGCCAGTGCTGCTGTGTTCACACACAGACCACGTTTTCTTCAATTAAGAGGTGATCAAAATAAGTAATGTATTTCTGTTAGCAGCAAATGTATTTTTAAGACTTCTGGACCCAAGCGTTCTCTTTTATTCTGTAGTCCATGCAACTTTAACTGACCATTTGAGGCTCTGGGATTTACATTACAGATAGAGTACAGAAATGGTTCAGCTCCTACTTCCCCAAACAATTTGTTCCCATCACCTGACAGGTGACTCATCATCATCATCAGTACACATTACATGCAGAATTCCACTGGGTACAATTTTAGGTGCGGCCTTATTTTTAGAAGAGGATTAGATAAAGAAGGGACTGGAGCACGCAGATAGCTAAATTTACTTAAGCAATGCAAGGACTTCAGCTTCAGCATGACTGCATCTTGATCAACGTCATGTAATGTAATAGCCTTTAAACAGGCACTAGATTTAAATAGCCTCCTGAGGCTATAATATGGTCTTTAGCTTTGACAAGATGGAGAGGGTAATGCACTGAATACCACCTCGCACTGAATGTGAAATATTTCTTATCTTATTTCGTACAGCTCACACAGAATGTACCTTTTCATGTTTTAAAAAGCCCAAATAACAAATACAACCCAGCTCCAATTCTTTCTCACCAAACAATAGTTAGTGTGCAATACATTTGTGAACACATTAAAGATTTGAATGATCCCTTGATCTTGGTTTGTTTTACCCTACATTGTTCTCCCCTTTGTTTTTCTACAACTTGCTGTGGACGTTTTTTTGTGCCAGTTAAACATGACATACACATATATTTGTGTTTGTTTTAGAAAGAATGTTCCTTGCATTTCTTGATCTTGGTTCTTCATCTCTGTGGGGCATACAAAGATGTAGGTGGGGAGGTGTTGATGATGTGCGCCTATATATTTCAATAGGGCATTGTTGTGATATTGGGCACCTAAGTTAATGTTATGGACATTGGTCCCTCCACAAACTATATGTTGTTCCCTGTAATAGTTCGTCCATCAGAAATACATTTCTCATGTAAGACAATGATAATATGTTCAGTAATAAACTTAAAGGTCCCATGTCATGGCCATTTCTACTGATCATAATTCCATTGTTGAGGTATACTAAAATAGATTTATATTGTGTGATTTTGGAAAATTGCACAATATAAATCTAATTGGTTTCTCATACAGCATCTCTGTATATTATGTGTATTCACTCTCTGTCCTAAACGGCTTGTTGGAGCTCCTGCCCCCCCTCCCTATGAGCCCAGTGGCCGTCTGCGAGACAGCGAGACACAGCGATACCCAGCCCGAAACCAGCCCGAACACAGACACACACCCGCAGCCTGGCTGGGAGTTTGTGTGTGTGTGCTCACACACCGACTCACAGCCTCGTCGCGTCCCGCCGTCTCAGGGAGGAGAAATCGGCGGAGCTGCAGCTGAGAAAAGATTGAGTGTGTGTGTGTGAGGAAGTCACTTAACGTAACGGCTCCGCGGACGTGACGTAACGACTCCACGGATTGGTCCATTTGGACCAATGGGTCCATTTGTGTATGGGCACGTCACTGCACCCAGGAAGAAAAGGAGAAATCTCCAACGAGGCGTTCTGGGGCAGCATAGACAGGTATTTTCTGTGTTAGAGTTTTACTCGCTACAGGGTGTACTTTGAGGGTTTGTGACTTTGCAGACCGTTTACATGCATAAAAACCTTCATAACACACAAGGGGACGGGTAATAACCGGAAAAGCATGACATGAGACCTTTAAATAGTAGTCTGATAGTGGTGGATGTGTACTTGAGTTATGAGTATTTGAGGACATTTTTTAACCAAACTTTTCATTTTTTTCTTATATTTCTGATCCAGCCAGTTAATCAGGGTCACCACTATCAGAAGGAAATGAACCCTCTCCTTCAATCAAACCCTAGGTAAGCATGTGACACACAGACACACACATTTGTAGCATAAATAATCTGCTGAGCTGTGTATGTCTGAAAATATAATAAAATCAGCAATACAAGAAAAGGCTGACACAACAACACTTGTGTATTGATACAGAAGAGATCTTTAAAAATAACTGACATGTGGTCCCAAGGAACTGGGTTGTTTGTAACCAAGTCTTGGTGAGAACACGTGACAAAAGACTGGTGTATTTTATATATTGCCTTATGTAGTCTGTCTTTGCTTGCATTTACATGAAACTACCTGACGATCACAATCAGATAATAACCAGTGACTGCAGAATTAAGGCTAAATGTCAACTGTCAGATAGATATGCAAATCAGGGCTTTCTGGCTCACAGATTAGTATGAATAAATTGAGTGTGTTGTAGTTCTTCTCCCTTGACTGCTGTTGTCATTTTCATACTTTTCAAGTTGATATGAACAGTGAAACAAATTAGGAAATAGGAAACATTGCTATAAATCTTTATTATTCATATCCTTCATACATTCAACTTTTCCATGATTTTTCCTTTTTTTATTCAAATGAATCTTCAAATTTTATACTTTTTCATTAATTTTTCCACTCTTATCTTCTCATACATACAAAGATGTAGAAACCTCATTCAAACTTCTGAATGTACCACATCTTTAAAAAAGTCTGGGTTTATACAGTCAATTAGAAAAACCCTCAAACCAACTCCTCTTTAACTTCTTCGAAATCATTACCACATTCACATAGAAACTCCACTCAGAAAAGGAACATTTTGTGGCAATTAAAACAGCATCAGTATAATCTAAATAATTTGGCTCCAGTATACACATTGACCAAAGTCTATTTAGTCTTTGTTCTTCTCAACTATTACATACCAGAAACAAATATTGCAGTCTCAGTATCCTCAATAACGTGCAGCCTTTACTTCATACATCAAAACATGTATGCGTTGAAACCGACATCTCGTGGCACTGTTAGCCTTGAATGACATGAGTGAAAAACACACTGCTCAATTGATTCCTCCTTTATTAACTGAGACCAGACATTTCACGAGGGAAGCATAAACAGTTACTTCTCTAACCTGCTCTAATCATCACACTTTTGGCACTAGGCGCATTAATCTTACACTGTGTGCAAAGTAGGGTCTCCTATCTTGCAAACATTAAGCAATAGTGGTTAAAGTCTGGAGCTGAAAGTGGCAGGATGAGAGGTGCGTCTCAGTCTAATCTCTGTGAAATTGAATTTCAAGGACGGGAGTCACATGACAGTTACCGTCCCCATGGCAACATTTAATTGCAGGTAGGGACACAGAGCAGATTAAGATGAGTTTATAAATCCAGCTTGAAACATGCAGATGTTTATTTTAATTCTTCCCTACTTATTAATACTTTGACTTTAAAGGTCTCCTATCATGCAAAATGCACTTTTGTATGTCTTTTATACATAAATATGTGTCCCCGGTGGGTCAGGGAACTCACAAAGTGTCATAAAATAAAATAAAACTTTTCCTCCTTACCCCCATCTCTAAAAACGGGGGCACTGATCCAGATTTGCGTCGGATATGACGTAATATCGGAAATGTGGGCTGGCTTACACCCACGGCCCTATCAGAAACGTCGCTATCAGAAACAATGCACCTTTGTTTACATTAGCAACCATCGCTAACACTCAGAGCTAACCTGTACTGGTGAGAGTATGTGTAAAAAAGCAGGATATAAAAAGGTACTCACCTTGTAGTAAACCCGCAAGAAAATAAGCATTTGAGCTCAATACTGTTTCAGAAATAATCCTTGAAGTGGTTTGGAACATAATATGGCGTTTCATCACGGCAGCATTTAGCTGCATCTGAGCAGAGCAGTCAGCCTGCATGCTCAAAAGGGGGCGGGGCTAGCAGAGAATCAGCCATTCTCTAACAGGGCTGAAATAGAGGGATATGAGGGATGTCTACAATGCATGATCTGTTTGGTATTTTGAGCAAAACACATCATAGACATGTTTTTTATATATTTGTATATATCTGAGACCCATAATATATGCCTAAAAATAACATGAAAGGAGATCTTTAAAAGCCAAAAATTCAGTTAAGTCTCAGCTTTCCAACAAACCCTCAAATACTTCACATCTTTCAGACGTTGCATTATTTAACCTTTAAGCCAACAATTTAGTTATGCGTCAGCCTTTCAACAAATCTTTCATTCTTCAGAAATTGCCCTCTGGTTACTGACTTATTATTATGCTTGTCAGATTTATAACTGGCAGCTTTTTATTACACTTTTATCTTCGAGATCATTAATTTTCAACACTCACAGTTTTTGGTTCAAGTCTTTTCGAAAAATCCAACGCCATGATTTAGCACTGCCTTATACAAGAACAAATCTGTCCTTGATAAAGCAAACACCTTCTTCTGCATGGAAGGAGCCTCAGTAGTTCACAATGCTCAACCTCAAAAGTAAAACATATTGATGATTGGGCTAAGGCAGCAGAACTTACAACCATTATTATTTTTGGAATCCAATATCAACTACAGGCATATGCAATGAACACACATTATGTAGCCCAGGAACCACTAAATGAAGTAGAAGTTGACAATCAGATTAAGTGGGGACATCATAAAGGTAAACTATAACACTTCATCTGACAATATGCTCTGTCAAAAATGAAAGATTATTTTAACAGTAGAAGAGAACGTCTTTTTTAAGTTCATTTAAATGGGTTTTTTTTGTTTTCAAAACAAGATGAAATAGAACTATATAAAGTGCAACCCGTATTGACATTTTAGTTGGATCTGTTTTTTTGTTATATTCCTGGAAGGGAATTACACTCTCTGAGGCAGATTTTAAAATGTTAAATCACAGGATGAGGTATAAAACATTCTTTAGTGCGTAATACACTATCACACATGACCATCTGGGCTGAATCTAAAGGCTCACACACACACAAGGCCCGACCGTGGCAGCAGATTGATGGATCTCTCGGTTCCCCTCGGAGGGCTATGGAGACCCCGCCTCACCCCACTGAGCCCGGTCTCTGCACCTCTCCATCTCTTTGTGGATGTACACAATCCTGCTGCATGTTACAAAACAAGACAAAGGGATTGCATCATAGGTCTGAAACTCAAATATGCTACCACCTCCTCTCGAACACTTTTGATTTATTGATGAAAAGCGAAGCAGCTTGTCATGAACATGTGTAAACTCAGATGAAATACTTTCTTATTTCAATGCTTACATGTTTTTGGTTGAAATATTCAGTGAGGTTATTATGTTTGATTGAATGTCCACTGAAATGAATATTGCTATAGACCTTAAGCATTCTCCCTCACACAGCATCCGCAGCTGTACTGAATTAAGACTTCGAAGCTTTCATTTACATATTGGAAGAGCAGCTGCACAGGATTTGTCGTTGTTATTGCTCCTTTTCTTTCAGGAATTGCATTCTGAGACACCCTTCCAGTGAATTCTATCATGGTATTATTTGAGGATCTTGGCATCACTGCAAGGCTTCCTCGCTGTTGAGGGCTACAGTTTTCTTAACAGCTGAAATGCTCCTGTTGCTGTGCTTAATGGTGCCAGGGCTTTAGCATTTTTAACATGTTTCTTTGCTTGTTACTTGCGTCTGCCTCTGGCTGGAATACCAAATGTTAAAACCACAAATCAGGCTGTCACAGGACCCAAGAGTAGGATTTAAATTGTTCTCACAATAAAGACAATTGTTGAATTCTGTTCAATTGCACAGTGTCAGACAAACAGAGTTGCTTTGACACCGTTTAGCTGGGAGGTTTTTGGAAAGCTTGATTTCAATAAACTTCACTGCTGTGTGTGCTCACTCGAATGAAATCAAACTAATTTATTCCCTTTATCACAGGTTCCACCGTATCTCGATTATAATTACTTGAAAATAGAAGACTTTAATAACCCACACCAAGTTCCTTCAACATTGAAAGTTCAATTTGCAGCTCTGTAGCAGAGGCCTTTGTCCTCGAAAATTGCTTTCGTTAACTTTTGTGCTATGTTCTTGCCTATCACAACGTCAAAGGGGTGTTGGAGTGGGTAAAGGCCTTTGTTAGAAAGCAAAATCAGAGCCTCGACAGAGATAATGTACTTTATCACTTTAAAGGCAAGAGATAAGGAATAAAGAAATTATTCTGGTTTGAATGCATGCTGAGATGAGATATGAATGAATGGCCTGTATGTGGGTGTAAATCATTGCATTGGTTTTGTATTTCATCGGGATGAATCTATGGTAACAATAGTTTTTATTTATGTATGTATATTATATTGCAAACTGCATTTTACTTTTTACTGATTCATACAGTTTTAGTTTAACATACTATCTAACAGTTTTGCATGTGTATTAAGTTCCAGATAGCACATCACTAACAGTATTATACTTCTGTTATTATAGTATTTACTGCAATAAAGGAGGAATCTTTGGCATGCATTAATACCCAAATTCTCTTCAAAATAATCAGAGAATATACTAATAATAATCAGAGAATATACTAATAATAATCAGAGAATATACTACAAATGTAAATGTTTACCTACTTAGCGTGCTGGTAGCATTACCAGGTCAGGATTTTAGTTTAGTGACCATACTATAATGTGGTTGGTGAATGTACCCCCTCAGAGGGAGAGACATTATCAATCATTAATGATGAATGTTTAACTAATCTGATGTCAGCTAAATGTTGCACAGAATAGGATTTATAGTACCTAATTAAATGTAGTATGATGTGCACTTCTGAGATGTTATGTCCAGAGGCAGAAGATGAGTAGAAGGCCCACCACTTGCTTTGGTTCCTTTGTGGAGCCGGGAATCAATTCCCCCGGGAGATCCGATTCCTTAGAAAAGTCAGTCATGGAGGCAAAAGATGTAAATGGATAATTGTGCAACTGATGTATAGCCTAACCGTATTATGAATTCTGTTAAACAAATGAATCCTACAGTGCTTTCATGTAATAATTCATCTTGTGGCATTTTTTTCCTCTCTTCCTCTAATCTGTTGCTCCGCACTAAAAGAGCAGTGTTGCACTTTACTGAAAAATGATTGATGTATAGTTGTAGCCTGTGTAGCTCTCAGACGGGGAAGATAAACTCATTTAGAGACAAAGTCAGCCCTGCTCTCAGAGACACAGGCAAGGTTAGGCCCCTTACTCTGGGCCAGAATTCAGACATGTGCAAATCTCAGCTTGAGTCAGAGTCTAATAAATGATCCTTCAGGTGAAACTGTGCGGCGGCGAGGCTAAGTGTGCAGGAGAAGGGGCTCAAGGACAATAGGGGCTAAGATGGGCTTCTGAGAGCTCACCATGATGGGGCTTCATTGTTAAAACGTCATATGGAGGCGATTTGATGGGCATGGTACAGTATGATAGCGTGTGTAATGGCATGGGTTGTCATGACTGTATGCTTTTATGGCCCTTTACCTAGGGAGTGGATGGACGTGCTCAGCCCTCCCTTAATGCCTCTCAGCCATGGGAGAAGGTCAGCCAACACATGGAACAATTTGGATCTAATCGGAGGTACAGTAATGTTAATTTGGTACTTTTGCCCCCAAACACCCTTCGATGTCCTTTTAAAGTCAGACGGCAAACAATACAATGCCTTAACATTTACCACTGTAATTATGCAAAAGCGTAGTACTAATGGAAACATTCACTGGTGTCAGAGCTTCCACCCAAAGACCGCTCTCAACACTGTGGGAAAGCATGTGAAACTGTATCTAATTAAGAGTAAAAACCCATGAGAGTGGAGCTCTCTGTCCTCCACATAACTCCATAGGTCAAAAGAGACAGGCTCATTACAGGTCTGCACCCCCAAGACACATCGGCAAGGTTAATTGATGAAACCTTTTGAGTTTACAACATCATTTTTAAAGCTCTTACACAATGTGTCTTATAATTAGTTTTCATTATCGTCGCCAAAGTTCTGATAAGATAAAATGTTCCTCCTGGAGCATTCCATAACCTTTTTAGCATTTAACTGCCTGTCAATTTAACAGCTACATTCTCCCACTTTAAAGTAGCGGGGATTACAGGGAATCTCTTTACTGCTTCATAATGTGGTACGGGGACTGTCTTAGGACTTGATTGATGAAGGAAAGAATGGCAGCGACAGAAAACTTTTTAAATCCACCTGAGTCTGAAGGTCACCTCACCATCCGGGCTTCTTATTTCATTTCAGTAACAGCTGATAGAGGAGGCCCTTACTTATCTCTGGCATGACTATGCTACTGTACATAGAAAATACAATTTACATTTGACATGCATGAACAAAAAAAATGGTACCCTTGCAAACGTCATTGATTTGAATTAGAATTGCATCGTTATATGTATGTATTGTTATATATGTATTGCACAATTAATATCAAGTGATTTTCTTTATAACAGGACGGGATGAGTCGCTGAATGAACAGGAAAAGGAGGATGAGTATTTGAATCTGCTCTATGATCCTTGCCTGAACTGCTATTTCGATCCAAAGACGGGGAAGTACTATGAACTAGCTTGACTCAAAGCTCAAGAGAATCTAAATTAATAAATCATAAGTTATTGACGGTGGGTGAATGGCTTCATCAAGTTTTTGAGACCTAGCTTATTGATCAGTACTGAATAACCCATTCACAAACATGTGAAACTAGCAGGGGCTTTGTGTCTCCATCAATACTCATGTCAGTGTGTAAGGGAGTGGGACTGACTCAATAAGTAAGACATTGGGTGGTGGCCCATTCAGTAGCACATCTGATGGTAGAAAGAGTCTTTGCAGAAGTCTTGGCTACCAAAATAATATGTTAACTTTTTTTAGATAACATCCTAGAGCTTCTATTTACACAGAAGATTTCTGACATTTAACTTTTGCCTGGATTTTTACATTGCAGAATGCGTTATTTTGTTCTATATTTATTATAATTAATCAAGTAATGTAATTGAAAATAAGTGTGTGTGTATATGTGTGTATATATATATATATATATATATATATATATATATATATATATATATATATATATATATATATATATATATATATATAGTTTGAATTAAATATGATTTGAGAAGACAGTGTTGCTGATTCCATGTGTGAATTTAATGAAACTGCTGTGGCAAAGCTATTCACATATTAAGCCTTACTAAATGATGCATACTGTGTGAGGGTGTGTGTAGGTGTATACTGTGTATATATAGATATATATATAAAGATGTATATCTATATGTATATATAGTCACAATAATCCCTTGTTGTAATAACCGTGTTCACAGGTGAACCTGCACCAACAGATGGGGAGCTCATGGGGCTGGCAGGTCATTTAATCTTTCCAAAACACTGATCAAACCTGATGAATGGCTTATACAAGTTTAATTCATCATTTTCAGCCTGAGATGAATTGCCGCTTGACAGTGACAGGAAACAAATTAAATTAAAAGAAGAGGAAAACTAATATGCATTCATCACATTGCGATTCCTAGTAGTTTTAATCAAACATTACCCCAAACTGGATCAGTGGCTGACAACTCAGTCGGCCCATCCAGCATGCTGGGCCCAGGTCTGCACTTTACTATGTCAAATACTGATATTTACACAATTACATTTTATGATCAGTCTGAGAAGTTCTCTCTTATTTGCAAAACCCTTTTTTCCAACCAGCTTATGTGTAGTATGTAACGGACACACCAAAACAAGAACTTAGAAATTAGGAAATAAATAGAATAGACACATGGTTGAACATTAGCATATTATGATGTGCCTGAAGGGGAACACATGCGGTTTCCCAGCACCTCTCATACGTTTCATAGTCTTTTAAATATTTTAAATATGATCTTTATGCATAATGTTATGATGTATGACTCAGGAATTTTGCCAAAAGGGATGTTCCACAGAAATGTGTTCCCTTTTCTAGAAGATACTGTAGAGGAATTTGAGGCTTGTGTGTTTTTTCAATTTAAAACAAAATGCATTTTGTGCATTAAAAACTACAAACCTGGATACTGTTATACATTTATTTCATCCATAGACTGCATCTCCTCATAAAAGCCACGTGACACAAAACCATACACCAAATGTCGAGTGACGTCTCCTGAAAGGGGGCGTCGACTGCTTGCAACAGGTTAGAGCAACCAGGAAGTAAACAACCATGGTTTGACCAGCGCGATAACTTACAGAAAACATTTAGTATTAACTTATTACAAATCCCCAAAACTATTTGGGGCTTGATAAGTCACGAGGATGTCAGCAGAAAAGGTAAATATGTGAAAAGGTCTGACAGATCCGCTGATATCTTCCGGTAATGGTCTATCTATGGTTTGAAAGACATAACCCTGAACATGCCAAAATACAAACAGTTCATTATGACCGTGGTGTTACAATGGTGTGTAATGTAATTCGCAGGAACATAACTAAAGTAACTCCGTGTATATTGTTTACCGTGACTTTTAACCTTTTGTACAAAAAGGCCTAGAGTTTTGGGACATTTAAATATGGGTATGTTTACCTTATTCGTTGAAGAACCATACAGGCTGATTTCATTCAAGTTATTACAATATGCACTAAAAACGCTAAGAAATACACCTATTGTTAGGCTACATTCTCTTTTTTCCTGCACAATACTCACTGTTTTACAGAACTTTCGGAATCATTGAAGTTCTAGCAAAGTGAACTAACATACACATCCATCAAGATTCATATTACTCTAAAAAATATAATTATAATAATGATAATATTAGGTTTAGCAGACTTTGTGTCTCCACTCACGACGTCTCCACACAGACTGTATGCACTTGATTAACTGTATAGGAAGCTACAAATCAAAGATGTCTTTCAGCCATAGTCTGTAAAAGATGAATATTAAGCTTTCAACTTCAATTCAGCACCTTAAATTAAAAAAGTATAATAAGAAAGTGATAGGCCACATTTATATTGATACTAAATAATAACGTGAATATAAGTGAGGTGATATCTCATCACAGCTTCATTGTGTTTCAGCTCAGACACCTCCTGATGTGTGATTAATTGTTGAATTGTAACCTTCTGGTCTTGTGAATCATAATTAACACTTAAAGATTAAAGTTTTCGCACTCTAATCCTAACGTTACAGAGTGTATGATCGTATGCATAGCTCTGACTTTAAAGATATTGGTTTGTGATCCTAGTGCTGACGTGTGTGATCATTTATTGTCAAAATTGCTTCCGTTTCCCTGCTTGGCCTGTGATTCACACTCCTGCTGTTGAGCTTTTGGGTCGTACACCAGTGTGATCCATAACACACGCTGTTCAGCTGTCATATCGCCTGCCCGTATTTCCTTTTTTATCTGAGCCACACATCATGAACTGAGCTGTTAGGTTTATGGGCTCTTTAACTACCCCACTGTTAGATCTCATTGGATTGAATTAATTTGTCTTTTTAGGCAGGGTTAGGTCGAATTCACCCTGGGGTTATTGCATCGGTGGTCTTCGTCTCTGTGGCGGCAATACTTGCTGCTCTATTGATCATCCGAAAATACTGCTACCCAGTCAAGTAAGGAGACTTTATAAATGAGCGTGTATGAGAGTATTTCAAATCCTCAGTGCAGTATGAACACATCACCCTGGTCTGTCACTTCTTTTCAGTGAGGCGAGTTACAGATACTCCACGCTGAGGGGAATGGAGGAACAGGGTTCAGCCATGACAGAGGGGGGGGACACGGGGCCCTGCACAGTGGGAGAGGAGTCGGACGAGGTCAGTGCTTCATGGCTACCCTGACTATATTTTTCATTTTTCACTGTTGTGTATCCCACAGCAACACAGCTGTTACTTTCCCTATCTCTTCACACGTCATTTTTTTTTTTCTCATGACAGGATCTTCTGGAATAAGTGTCCGAGGGGGATGCTGCAGGACTGGCTGAGTTTATTTTGGATGAATTGTGTGCTTAAGGACTTCAGCAAAAGATTGTTTTCCTTGTAGATGAATCCTTTGTTCCACTCAACATCAGAAAAAAAGTAAGAAAATACCCATCATCTTTTTCTTCATGCTCAAATGTGTTTTCTTGTCAAGTCTAAAAAACCCAAATCTTAAACCTATTATATATCGAGGAATTGAAAAGCACCAACTTCTCATGTTTTACAAAATGTTTGGATTTTGTATTCACTGAACAATAATATAAAGACTGAATCTCCTATAAAAGAGATGATTTAATTTTCAGACGACTGACTAATTCAATAATGGATTTGTTGCACCTGTGGATTATGTTTCTGGATTTGTATTCTTCGTCTGGCTCGATTTCTTATGAGAGTGTTATTTCCTTGTGTTTAATGCAATTTCAGTCAGACAACTCACGTGTTTCTTTAACATGTTTATTAGAAGCAGCATATAGTTGAGTTTGGCGTCTAGGCTCGGGCCTCATCACTCCACAGATATACATAGCACGATGAGTGATGATTAAATAACTAACCCCCCGAGCTTACAGGTGGAAGCTGGGGTGGTGGTGGGGCAGGCAAGCAGCAGCGACGTGGAAGTAGCTGCAGCAATAGCAGCAGCAGCAAGCAATGCATAGAGAGAGATCTGGCAGGTTAAATAGAGCGGCATATTAAGGAGACTCTGTTTGGTTGGTTGTAGAGTGGTAAGGGGCGTTATGTATGAATGCAGCATAATGCTCGAGTTGACTGCCTGAACTAGCTCGCAGGCTTCGCCCCATTAATGGGTTTACTAGATCTTTTCAAGCATCACTTCCCCAGTTTTAAACATCAAGGTCGTACTCCGTCTGTGCCTACAGTTTTATTAGTAGGTTAGGAGTAAAGGTTGTGGTATTTCAGCCGCTCCCCCATCATTTTAGTGTCAGCTAATTTTGCTCACATCCTCTTACTGTCCAACTGTGTATATCAGGTTGTGAGAAAAAAGTCATTAAGATGTTGATGTGTTGTACCATCAATATTGTTGTCAGTGTAGCTTACACCTCAGCTCACCTTGAAGTATCTCTGACTTTTTCTGCCCCCTCCCTTCTGAAACCTTTATGGTCCCTCAATCAGATGTTATATTAGAAGGCTAGTGCTGCTGATCGCACTGAAAACACATTCTCCTGAATATTCCATGGTTGACTAAAGGCTGTGCCATTGACAAAAAAAATTCAAATCAAATTTTAAAAATAACAAATAAAAATGTAAACAAATCACAGTAATTGTCATGTTAATACACATTAAATTAAAGAGTGGAAAAATAAATGAAAATACAGAACATTCCTTAATTAAGTGCATGATTTTCCTTCAGAGATCACAGACTCTTTAATTTGACTTCTTGGCTGATTTTTTGAAAGCTGTATTTGCCACAACCCCAACCCCACCTGCTAGGGAGTCCCGAGTGACATTATTATGTGGCGACAGCTTATACTGATAAATAATTAATCAGAAAATCATCTCACTAAAGCTTCTCTTTTGAATTAGATTTGGTATGATAAACAATTAAGCAATGAAATCAATCTGTTGCCCCCTAAAGAGTTTAAAGTTCCTTCGTTATTGCAGAATTTTGCAAATATCTTAAAAAAGGATTTGCGCTAAAGTTACTGATAGGAATGGTGTGAATTATGTCAGTGACTGCATATAATTTATATTCTGGTGTTCATGTTGGAGATATTTATGTTGTCCTCTAGAATTACTGATGATAGTGTGAATTATGTCAACGCTGACTTCTGCATGTAATTTATACTCTGGTGTTCATTTTAGAAATATTTATGTTGGTTATTAAATATATTCATGCAGAGGAGTGGCTGATGTGTTCACCATCTGCTTGGATTGTCCTTGTTCTGTCCAACTCATGTCCTGCATAATTCACTATTTCTGTCTCTTCTTTGAAGAGCATCTGTGCTTTATCAAAAAGGAACTGTTTATTATTCCTGCTTAAGCGGACAGGCATATTATTTTTTTTTTTTAAAGAACAAAAGATGCATATTTTGTTCCTACAGTGTTATAG